CCCCAATTCCCCAGCACTGTTCCCCTCCCACAACTCCCCAATAAAAATCTTAAAAAAAAAGTCCATACTGTTTATATATTGCCATAAGGCAATACATAGATTCAATGCAATTCCTATCAAACTACCAAGGGTATTTTTCACAGAAATAGTAATATAATCCTCAAATTTATATGGAACCATAAAAGACCCTGAATAGCCACAGCAATTCTGAGAAATAAGAACAAAGTTGGAGGTATCATGCTACCTGACATCAAATCATACTACAAGGCTACAGTAATCAAGATAGTATGGTACTGACATAAAAACACTAACATAGATTAATGGAACAGAATAGAGAGCCCAGAAATAAATTCATTTATATATGGTCATTTAATCTATGACAATGGAAGCAAGAATTTACATTGGGATAAAGATAGTCTATTTTATAAATGGCACTGGGGAAATTGGACTGACACATGCAAAAAAAATGAAACTGGATCACCTCCTTATGCCATATACAAGAACAAATTCAAATGGATTAAAGACATAAATGTAAGACCTGAAACCATAAAACTCCTAGAAGAAAACAGAGGGAGTAAATTTGCAGACATTACCCTGAGCAATATTTTTACTGATATATGCCCTTGGGCAAGGGAAGTAAAAAAAAAAAAAAACATATGGGATTACATCAAACTTAAAAGTTTTTTCACAGCAAAGGAAATCATCAATAAAACAAAAAGGAAGCCTACTGAATGGGAGAAGATAGTTGTCAATGATATATCTGATAAGGGGTTAATATCCAAAATTTATAAAACACTCATGCAACTCAACACCAAACAAAACAAACAAACCAATTAAAAAATGAGCAGAGGATATGAAGAGATAGTTCTCTAAAAAGGACATACAGATGGCCAACAGACATATGAAAAAAATGTTTAAACTCACTAATCATTAGAGAAATGCAAATAAAAACCACAATGAGATACCACCTCACTCCAGTCAGGATGGCTATCATCAATAAATCAACAAACAACAAGTGCTGGCGAGGTTGTGGGGAAAAGGGAACCCTGTGTACTGTTGGTGGGACTGCAGATTGGTGCAGCCACTATGGAAATCAGGATATAAGTATCTCAAAAAATTGGAAATGGAACTACCTTATGATCCAGAAATTCCACTCTTAGGTATCTATCCAGAGAAACCCAAGATGCTAATTTGAAAAAATATATATACCCCATTGTTCATTGTAGCACTATTTACAATAGCCAAGATTTGGGAACAACTGAAATGTCCATCGGTAGATGACTGAATTAAAAAACTGTGGTACATTTATACAATTGAGTATTACTCAGCTTTAAAGAAGAATGCAATCTTAACCATTTGCAATAATATGGATGGACTGGGAGAACATTATGTTAAGTGAAATAAGTCATTCAGAGAAAGACAAATACCATCTGATCTCACTTATATGTGGAATCTAAAGAACTGAATAATGAACAAAGTAAACAGAAATAGTCTCAGAGACACAGAGGAAAAACTGAGGGTTGCTAGATGGGAGGGGGTAGGGATGAGGGAGAAGGGGAAGGGCTGAGACAGCATAAATTGGTAACTACAATATTGCCTCAGGGATATGAAAGACAGTCTAGGTAATATGATCAATAATGTTGTAAAGATTTTGTAGGGTGTCAGATGGACACATGTCTTATTAGGGAGACCACTTTATGGATGGTGTAGGTGCTTGACCACTGCCCTGTACACCTGAAGCTGATGTTGAATAATATTTTATGTCAACTATAATTTTATATAGTCACGGGATGTGGAGTATAGTGTGGGGAATGGAGTCAATGAAATTGTATTAGATATATATGATATTGGGGGAGGGGTCAATGGATTAGGGGAGGGAGTCGTCACTTTGTGAGGGGTGAAAAGTATAACTATTGCATTGTTTTGTACACCTAAAACGAATAAAAAATAAAAGAATGCTCTTTCTAAACTGCAAAAAAATAAATGAAAAATAAATAAATAAATAAATAAAGAGCTCTGCAATGAATAAGGCATAATGGTGTTAGCACATGGCTGTATTTTTATGTTCATCAACCACTGCACGCAAAAATCTAAGACAGCAGGGCCACAGCTGCATTCTTAGAAGCCACAGGAATGGCTACTGCATAATCAGCACTCAATAAGTATGTGTTAAATGACTAAATGAATTTACAGTTTGGCCTTTATTTTGACTGCTCTGAAACTTTTCAACTTATTTTCATATTCTTGGCTATGGAGGTTTAGATATGTGAATTCTGCACAAATGGTTACTGAGAGGTCCTGTGAGGTGAGAAAACGTGTGTAAAACTACTTAGCTTAATGCTTATAC